TGATAAGACATGGTGTGTGATTAATCAGACTTGGCTTCTTTTTCTTCTGCTTCATCAGAAGCTGCACTGTCCTCATTTTTAGTTTCTCCATTTTCTCAGGTAAATCTTCCTGAGTTTCTTGATTAGCCACTTCAGCCTGTTTTCCCTTGGTTCCCCTTTTCCCTTTTGCTTGCACTTTTTTGTCTGAAGATTTATTCTTTCCGGCTGCATTTTTTGGCTTCGTTTCTACTTTAGCTGGAACAGGTTTAGCCGACAATCTCGCCGATCTCCTCTTGGGCTCCTCCTTCGCCGCCCCTTTGGCCGAGCTGACCTTCCTCTTAGGCATCTTGGCGGCGCGTGGGGCTCGTGCGGAGGCTGCGGTTTGAGGTGCACGGGAGCTTCGCGGAGATGTGCAGCTCGACTGCTGCCGTTCCTCCCGCCTTGGAAGGCTAGATCTTCAGGTATACTTTTTCTGAGGAGACTGGCATGCTGAATAAGGTGAATTTCTGGGGTAGCCAAATTAATTTTGAATCCGAAGTTCAGTTTTTCACCAGATACGGGAACAGGCTTAGGAATGCCCAGCTGCCCAATGGTGACAATGCATTCAGGCTCTTAAGAAAAATCCTAACAATAAGCTTGTATTCTGGATGGTTAACATCCTAAGTTTGCAGACCAAAATTAGAGAAAAAGGAGGGCTACAAGGAAAGCCAACATTTTGGCCCTAGCCTTCTAAGTTCAATTAAGACTCAGGACATATGAGAACTTGTACTGTAACGTCATGTACCTCGGTAGTGTCCCAAATTTTCTGATCAAGAAGATTATGGGACCAAAGAGGAAAGTGATTGATGGCGTAGAGTGTGCCTAAGGAGAGTCACATGGGGAGAAGACACTCTCTCAGGCTTTCACAGAGAGCACATTGGACAAGCATTGGCCGTGACTCGTCCACATGGCTGACACTGACAAAGGTTCTACAATCTGAGGTACAGGATCTCAGGATAAATCCTGAGGGCATTTCACTGACCTTCTCAGACCAAAAAGCTACAGCTCTTGTTGCATAGGTCCTGCTTTACCTTGGTCTTAACCATCCAGTAGAAAAGTATGAAGACGAAATATAGGAAGTAAAGCAATGTTGTTATGTTGAGCTGTGGGGGACTCAGGTCAATAATTTCTGACATTGTCAGTTAAACAGAAGACCCAACGCTATTATGGGCTACTGGACTCTTTTAGAATATTTTGCTGAGTTTACACACCTATAATATTCAGTAACGGAACTTAGGAAAAATGGGGTACACCGATGAATGTCCATTCTGTATCTGTGTATTCAAAGTGGTTGGGGTAGATATATAGTTGCATTGTCTTAATGACTGGAATAATTTGTTCTAATGGTGTTTGTAAATAGGATCACAAGTCCGCATCTTGTACAGCAATTAACCACTAAGAAGAATATATGCAGTGTATTATTTGTTGAAAAAAAAAAAGAAAGAAAGAAAAAATGTAAAAAAAAAAAGAAAGAAAAAAAGAAAAATCCATTAATTTGGTGAATTTCAGGCTCATTGTATAGAGGAACTGGAGAAGGTAGTTTTTTCTCCCATTCATTCCTATGAAAACCGAGCTGGTAACAGGTTCTAAGCATCCAGGTTTCCTAGAAGAGCTGATTGGTTCATCTCCATGATTTGTGTCTCTAAGAGTGAGTTCTTGAGGGTGACGAGCCAGCTAAGCTCCAGCTTCTTTGAGAAAGAGAGCACTCCAAATTCCGTTTCTGCATACAACGACACACAGAATTCTGGTTAAAATGTCACTTGAGTAACTGAAGTAATTCACAAGGCCCCACTATGCCAAGAGTGCCAACTCATTCAGCGTCCTGTAAAGCACTCATGAAGTTTGTGACTTTCCAGGTAGTTGTGCAGAGGAAGAGGAGAAGGATGTTATCACTCCGGTGCATTCCTAGAGGAAACGAACAGGCAACCATTCTAAACATCCAGGTTTCCTAGCAAAGCTGATTGATTCTGTGCCATGATTTGTGTTTCTAAGAGTGAGTCTTAATGGAGAAGAGCCAGGTAAACTCCAGGATCTTCCGAAACCAGGCAATCCAAAGCATGTTCCCGCACACAGCAAAACACAGAACTCTGGTTAAAACGTCACTTTGGTAACCTAAGAAATTCACAAAGTCCCATATACCAAGAGTAGCAACACATTCAGTCTCCTAAGAGTAATAATTCATGACATTGGTGAACTTTCCAGCTCATTGTACAGAGGAACTGGAGAAGGATGTTTGCTCTCCCATTCATTCCTATGGGAACTGAGCTGTTAACATATTCTAAGGGGCTACGTTTTTCAGTACAGCTGGATGTTTCTGAAGCATTATTTGTTCTTCTGAGAGTTCGTACTTAACAGGGAACAGACACGTAAGCTCCAGCTTCTTTGGCAAACAGGAAATTCCAGTGTCTATTCCTGTATACATAGCTCAGTCCTTTAAGTGGCTGCTTCCACAAAGCTGTCAGCCTCAGGTTGCTGGAGTTCGAACCTCACAACTCTCCCGCTGGCCAAAAGTGCCCTGAAGGCATTCGAGGAAGAAAAAAAAACCCTTATTCCATTTCTATTCCTGTATACAGTGAAACTCAGAACTCTGATTAAAACATCACGATGGTAACCAAAGTAATTCGCAAAATCCCACTATGCCAGGAGTGGCAACACATGTAGTCATGTAAATCATCCATGATTGTCATGAATTGCAAGCTCATTGGGTAGAGTAACTGGAGAAAGATGTTTTCTCTCCCATTAATTCCTATGGAAGCAGAGCTGGTAAACCATTCTAAGTATCCAGGTTACCTAGCAGAACTGCTTCTTTCTGCTTCATGAATTGTGTTTCCAAAACTGAGTTCTTAATGGAGAGCATCCAGCTGACCTCTAACTTCTTTGTGAACAGGGCACTCCAATGCCTGTTCCCGCATCCTGTGAAACACAGACCTCCTTTTAAAATGTCACTTTGGTAATCGAAGTAATCGAGAAAGCCCCCATATGCCAAGAGTAATAACTCATTCAGGCTCCTAGGAGAAATAATCAAGTTGGTGACTTTCCAGCTTATTGTTCAGAGGACTGGAGTGACGTTTTCTCTTCCATAGATTCCTATGGAAACTGAGCTGGTAACATATTCTAAGTGTCCGGGTTTCCTAGTAGAGTTGATCATTTCTGCTGCATGATTTGCGTTTCTAAGAGTAAGTTCTCAAAGGAGAAGAACCAGCTAAGTTCCAGCTTCCTTGGGAAGCAGGGACCTCCATTCCCTGTCCCAGCATACAGCGAAACACAGAACTCTGGCTAAAACGTCAATCAGGTAACCACAGTAATTTGCAAAACCCCACTATACCTAGAGTGGCAAGTCATTCAGTTCCCTAAGAAAAGCACGTGAGAAGTTGGTGACTTTCTGAGTCAGTGTGAAGAGGTTCTGGACATGGAATTTTCCCCTTCCTTTCATTCCTATGGGAACTGCCATGGAAACACGTTCTAAGCATCCAGGATTCCTAGCAGAGCTGATCCCTTCTCCTTTATGGTTTGTGTTTCTAACAGTGAGTTCTTAACAGAGAAGAGAGAACTAAGCTCCAGCTTCTTTGGGAAATAGGGCACTGCAATGTCTGTTCCCGCATACAGCAAAACATAGAACTCTGACAAATACATCACGTGGTAACCGAAGTAATTCATAAAACCTGACTATGCCAAGATTGCCAACTCATTTAGGTTCCTAAAAGAAAACATGCTTGAAGTTGGTGACTTTGCAGCTCCTTGTGCCCAAGAACTGCAAAAGATTTCTTTCTCTCACATTCCTTCCTATGCGAACAGAGCTTGAAAACCCATTCTAAGCACTCAGGCTTCCTAGTAGAGCTGATTGTTTCTGCACCATGATTTGCCTTTCTAAGACTAAGTTCTTAATGGAGAAGAGCAAACTAAGCTTCAGATTCTTTGGGAAA